ACATATGTTTCGTCGTCCATGATGCAGCATTCAACTTTCGTCAGCATGTTGAGGTACAACTTCCTGGCACGGGTTTTGGCGGACTTGTTCTGCTTCTCGTCGCGATTAGGGGCCTTTTGTACTTTGAACGTTCGAAGCCCAGCCTTAGTTTTGGCCTTCTAGACAAAACTTCGGCTTAGGTGCAGCTTCTTAGCCACATCCCTAACGGAGGCGTTCGGATTTCGGTTGAAGGCCCCAACTACGCGGTTGTGATTTTTGGTGTTGTACGGAATACTTTTTCCTTCACTTCTGGGCTTCCGATCGGTGGTCAACCGTTCCTCGAACCGCTTAATCACTCGCGACACCGTGGAATTCGCGATTCCCAACGTTTTAGCGATGGAACGATGCGAGAGATCCTTGTTCTCGTGATGAATGCGCAAGATTTTATCACGCACGAGCTGTTCTTTCGACTCCATTTCCGCGAGTTTTGATCACAGGACTTTAAAACTTGCAGGATGTAAATAATGCACTATGAACTAAATCCACCCAAATTTTCATTAAATTCTACCCAACGGTTAAAAAGTTAGAGCAATTTCATAGTGTGGCAATTTCATCGTGGACACCCTTTACATGATATATAATGTAAACGTATATGATATGTGACGCTCCATTTATGTGCATCATATTGAACAGAAATTCACACTACTTTTTCGAACTGTGCATTATATAACCAATCACGATTTGTTCAATCGCATGCTAAATTTGCAATTGTTACATCGAGTCGTTGATGGGTGTAAGTTTTTGCGCGTGAATTTTTGAAATCTTACACAGATAAAAATTCTGAATTTTAATTGTGATGTAAACATTAAATCACGTAGACTTGTATTTCATTTTACGCAACCGAGCAACTTGCAAACAATGTTGTTTACAAAGATAGGCTTTTGTATACAATATTTGCTACATTGTATGAAATGTGTCACAAGTTTACATGATATATATTATAAACGTATATGATATGTGACGCTCCATTTATGTGCATCATATTGAACAGACATTTACACTATTTTTTCGAACTGTGTAGTTCAGTATTTAAAAAAAATATAAATAACGACGCGATAAAGTTAACTTTTTTTAAATATGTACCTATATATATATGTATATATATTAATCAGTGAGCTTGGAAGAGCTATTGATTTTAAGCTTATGAAACATGAAGGGTGATTAATTACAGATCATTCGGAGGAGATCCTTTCCAGTTATTTGTTTAAATTTAGTTCAATATATACCAAATAACGACTCAAAAAAATAATTGAGCAGCTCGGCTAGCTTTTGCTTACTGAAGATCGTCTGTTCAAGACGTGTTTATCGCAAATCTCAAACCCTTCACTAAGAGCAGTTGTTGTCGTCGGGACCGAAATCTAGGAGCAGCTAGAACGGGAACTCGTATTTTTTGTGATATAAAGAGCTCGGTGGTCTAGTGGCAATCGATTTATGGGTTCAATCTTAAACTCCTTCACATTATAGAGTTTCAGTGTGAATCGGACTTATTCTTAATACGAGATAAAGCGTAATGAAATTCGCTTCACACATTGTAGTATGCCATTCCCATCCGAACAATAAAAAGCACACAAATTCAATCATACTAAACAAACCATTCACCCCCAGGCAGCAAAGCCAACGCCCGGATAAAAAGAATGCAATTATGCAATTCTAAACGTGCCATATGTGTAACCCCTCGGTACTGGACTTTCAGCGCTCTCTCGCCCTCTATCCACCCTTCCTGTGTGATCCTAGGTGGTTCATGCAGCACGAAAGGTTTCGAGTGACAACGCCGGGCGCTCAACCGAAATATATCCAATATAACTTATAATGCTAGGATGACCATTTTTGTCACTCTGTTTCCCTCCAGTCGTCTCACTTTTTAATGATTTGACGCTTTTTAACATACAGGAAACATTGTAAACCAAATTTTATACAGAGATTAATTCTAGAGCTCGACTCTGACTGGGTTCACCTCGGTCAGACCAATCGAAACTCTCAAGTCGTTTGCCTCTGTGCCCCTGCTGGTTACTACAGCGTGGTAATCACAGAAAAGAAGGCCCTGTCTCGCGGGTAATAACCATCGAAATATGACCACGCATAAGTAATGATCACCGCGCATAACACAACATTATAGAGTTTTACCAACCGGTGAACACTCGTGTTTATTTCAGTTGCCGGGGACGTAATTTGTGATTAGCCCCGGTCCCTTTCAAATTGTATCAATATTTATGTACGGTCCTTATATTTGAAATGACGTTTCACATTCATCTAGTGATGGCCGATTTTCATTCGAATAATCGATTAATCGATTAACGAACCGATAAGTAAAATATGTGTAATCGGTTATATCATGCCGATATAAGCATTAACATCTTCAGAGGAGGCGCCGGTGGGGTGAACTCTAATTGGTGGAAAAATTGAAGCACAGCGAACAAAAAATAATCGATTAGTTGTTAATCGAGTAATTAAAAAATGGGACATCTCTGATTGTTTTGTTAAAAATGAGCGCAAAATTTCATCTCTACCGAGGGGGCAGCAAAACCACAAAATTACCTTGTATACGGGGGGTATTCATTGGATGAAAGGGACCGTGAAAGAGGACACTAAAATAAAAAGTTTTTCTTCCGACAGTTTCATCAACCGGTGAACACTCGTGTTTATTTCAGTTACCGTGGGAACGTAATTTGTGATTAGCCCCGGTCCCTTTCAAATTGTATCATTATTTATGTACGATCCTTATACTTGAAATGACGTTTCACATTCATCTAGTGATGGCCGATTTCCATTCGAATAATTGATGAATCGATTAACGAACCGAAAAGTAAAATATTTGTAATCGGTTATATCGTGCCGATATAAGCATTAACATCTCCAGAGGATTATCACCGATCGTTTCAAACATGTGCTGCACTCTCATTGGTCGAAAAATGGCAGCACAGTGAACAAAAAATAATCGATTAGTTGTTAATCGAGTAATTAAAAAATGGGACATCTCTGACTTTGGTGTGTTTGTTTTGATAAAAATGAGCGCAAAATTTCATCTCTACTGAGGGGGCAGCAAAACCACAAAATTACTTTGAATACGGGGGGTATTGATTGGATGAAAGGGACCGTGAAAGAGGACACTAAAATTGAAAGTTTTTCTTCCGACAGTTTCATCTTAGTATTCATCTTTGGTTTCATCTTAGTATTCATCTTTGGTTTTACTTTGGCTTTCTTTCCTAATATGATGAAAGCGTAAAGAAATTCGTATGGAGGGCCAGGTATGTAAAAGAAGTAAAATTTGAGTTTTAGAAAAGACGTGTTGATCTGCAATTCATTTCAAAGAGCAGTTGTTGTCGTCGACGGTCAGGTCGTCGACGGTCAGGTCTCCGCCGGGATCGAAACGTAGTAAAAACAAGTTGATCGTAATTGTTTTGTGATATAAGGAGCTAGGTAGCCTTGTGGTGGCCGATTTTGCTTACTGAGCAGACGACCGTGGGTTCAAACTCAAGCTCCTTCGCATTATTGAATCGTTAGAACATCAATCCAGCATATCTTTTCCAAAACGGATTCTGCTGCAATCCCAACCCTTACATCCAACATCCCAGTGATTTCTCGTAAAAGTGCAGAGGTGTTATCGGCTTTCATTAAAGTGAGTATTACGTCAACATATTCCTGCCTATTCCTTTCTTGACCAGCATTCGGACGTGGCCGGCGCAAGTATTGCCTAATTTTAGATCACCAGTATTTACACATTGAGGATGGTTGCTACTCCCATGCAACGTCTATTGGTTCTCTGTGTAATTACAGCCGATCTGGCAATAACAGAGTTGCATCTACGGGCGGTTAATGATGAACTATTTAAATAAAAATACAAATACAAATCACTAGGGTCTTTGCAAATAAGGTGTTATCAAGTAAAATAATTTCAAATTTGTAAAAAAAACCAATAAAACGAAAAAAGGTGAATTTTGAGTTGTGACAGTATTGCATGGAACCGAAGACTTGTACATTAAATAAACAATGCTTTTGAAAATGTCATGTAATTTGGTTAATTTGGTATAATAGTTGAAAGCTAAAGCTGTTTCGCATGTCCAATTTTTAACGTGCACAAGCTTTATTCTGTTTATGAAATAGGTCAAGGAAGAAGGAATGCACTAGTGATGAAAAATTTGAAATTATCATTTCACAATGATCTGACGATTCTTAATCAGGTCCTGATTAGATACCCAAAATTTGAACTCATTGGGTTAGAAACTCAATTAGCACAAGTCAACTGAAGTATATATGGAAATTACTGGGAACATCAAACTTTTTGTTGTGTCTTTGATGCGTGAAATAGAGCATAACAATCATGGCTGATATATAACACTGCATAATAGTGTCTGTTACAAACAGTTACATACATTTGCGTACAAAGCAGCTAATTGATTATTTCATAAGATTATCAAAATAAATAAAGACGATTTAATCTGACGTTTGGCTGGAACCCGATCTTGCTGAAATTTCCTTCAATATTTGCTTGAGCAATGTTGTAAAAGGATTTCTAGAGAAAAGGAAAAAGTTTGGTTTCCCATAGTAATCTCCATACAAACTTCAAATGGTATGTGCACTGTCGTTTTTAACCAAATGAGTTCTAGTTTTGGGAGACTAATCAGAACCTGATTGGGAACCGTTTGAGCATTGTGAAGCAAAACTTTCAATGTTTGCTTCAGTCTAATTTTCACCATGTTTCCTTTCCCAGTCCCCGCCTGGCCATGTCTGAGTTCAAAGCTACATGTCATTTTTAAGACCATAATCCCTTTGGGAATTTCATCACGCTGAGTGAAACAAACATGCATATTTATACCCAGACATTACTCAGCGAATGCTCTTCCACCAAAATTAATTTTCCAGTGAACAAATAGTCTAATTAAGCCACATATAGCACTCTCCACCCATCTCTAGCGGCGGCAACTCTCAACATGTGTCCCATTTTGCTAACCTTCCATTTCCAGTGCCAAAACATACAGGACCGCAACAACACGGTGGAGCTGTGGAGCGGCGCGGCGCAGTACTGCCTCCTGGTGGGGAACTACAACAGTGCCACCGCCATCCTGGAATCGCTAGATATGCCACCTATTGCTAGATTACAAATCACGGTAAAATATTGCTTTAAAAATTAAATTAATGTTGCCACCCACGCAAGCACAGCTGTTATACATAAATAGAACTACAACGAACCGTGGAGGTCGCCCACGGTGGTAAGTAATAATGGCCCAGACAAGGACGTATCGTTAGCGGTAAAATCATGTGTAGAACCATGGTAGAAGCTTCCGATGCAACAAAATTATTAATTATGCATAAATAGTACAGCCAGAATACCACTGTAGCGCTTCCCAAATACCGCCCTTGTCCTATATGTTGTATTATAAATTTTGAACAGAATTATCCATAGTAAAGGTTGGTATGTACCGTAACTAGTGCAAAACTGACAAACATTAATTTGCTACAGGGCATGTTTTTCACTATGTCGAGCTTGAAATAGATATAGGCTGTATCATTGCTTTTGTTGTGAAGGGTGATTAAAAATGGTTTACATCCATTGTTTGTATTTAATTGCCTGTTTATAATTTATCGCGATCACAATAAACATAACTTCAATAAGAGTAAAATTAAATCGGACAATTGACCGCAAATCAACATTTAATCGAACTAATGTTCGATTGTATAAAGATTATTCAGTTATTTTTTGTCATAAAACCATCATAGACCGATACAGCAGATTAGTATTCGGCTGCTTCCATACAGCTCGAAATACTCAAAACAATTAGTTTAACAGGTTTCAAGGCATATCTCTACATATAGGACACGACCAACGTTGGTGAACTCCCAGACCGACGATGCGGGGAAAACTATTTTTCATAATTGTTTGCAATAGGTCATAAGTCTAAATTGTGCTGGAATTTGACTGACACTTGATTTTTCCAATAGGAGTATTCAACATTTTTCAATAAATCCTAGCACACGGCTCTTCTTATTATCATCATCTTCTAAATGAAATAACGTTAAAAAAACACAAATTTGGACAAAAAATTAAACAATGTCTTTACCTTTTTAAAACATCCATATGAAAAAAATGCGTATTAAAAATATTTTTCAACTTGTTCACGAGTACAAATCTCACCCCCAGAAAAGTCACGAATGACCCAAGAGCGTTAAAGTGACTAACTATAATAATAAATTTAAAAAAAAAATCTTCCTAATTTTTTTACCAAAAGTTTGACTTATTTTACCGTGTGTATTTTTTTAAAGGTCCTATATTTCTCTACAACTTTGGTTCAGACGTCATTCGGATTCGGATTTGGATTCGAACACACCATTTTGAAAAATTAGACACGATTCGAAAGACCAGCAGAAATTTGATTTATTGTCCAATAATCGAATTTCGTTTGTTGTTACTCTATTTGGCCTGAATTTGCTTTCAATTATCTCCAATATGATCAACACTAACAACTATTTTCCATAGCGGCGCCGGTGATGTAGTGGTAGGCATGATTAACTCTCTCTCCAGCAGGCCTAGGTTCAATCCCAGTCGGCACCGCCGGGATGTTCTGAGGCATAACATTTCCTGATCACGGGAAGTAAAGCCGTTGGTCCCCGGTTCATGAGTTGATGGGTCGATAGGTAGGGTCCAGGTGTGGGAGCTGCCTCCATGACGTTGGTAGCATTGGTGCTCAAAAAATGCTAATACTTGCTAAAGTATTTCTAGTACCGTATGACCACCGACAAACCGACATGAATACAATACAAATTACAAAGAAATTTCTGATCAAAGCACAAAACTGACATCTGCCACCGTGTTCGCGGAAAATATTTATTCTAGCCACGAACACGCGTACAAATTATTTTTATTTAGATAAAACATTTCTATGGTATTGATAGATAGGATCGCTGCACATTTGAATCGGCCGTTATGGATTCTCGATCAAGAGTTAAGCTTAAGTTTCATGTCGGTTTGTCGGTGGTATAAATACAAAATTTGAGCTGCCGGCCTCACCTCCGACCACCGATGAATATCATCAATTACTTTTACTTTGATTTATGGTTTAGATAATAGACGATTGTTGTGTATTAGAGAACGCTTGCGCAAAAAGACTAGGGTGAGAAACGGATTCGAAACTCAAATGTCATTAGCCAAATTCATCCGTAGACCATATAAGTCCACCATTGTATAATTGGCAATGCACCCGTGTACTGAATGGGAATTGTGGGTTCAAATCCACACACACACACGTCTCTTTCCGATGTGCTTACCTCTCAGTATGTTCAAACTTTCTCATTAACAATTAAATTGACTGCAAACCGTGAATCAATGCAAAAAATACTTTTTTTCAAAACACTACTGCCAGATAGTGGAAGTTAGATTGAAGACAAACATACAAACCTTAACCACCAACCCTTCTTACTAAAGACTATTTTCAAATAGGGGAAAATGGGGTTAAAATATCCATAGCGGGAAAATTGCGCCCCCCCCCCCCCCTTTCTCTGCTGCTAGTTAATATAATGGGGTCAAATTGCTACCACATGTTAAACTTTAAACACACTATATGAATGGAACCAAAAAACATTTAAACATTTAAATTTTGGCACAAAACCATGCAAAAATAGTAATTTCTGGAAACAGTTGGTATATCTGAATATTGCCAAAATTGAAGATTTGATTAATGCAAGTACATCCTAAATCTTTCTGCTCAATAGGTCGTATGGCAATTTTATTTAAAAAATAGTACCGTAAAGTTTTTAAATTATATTTTAAATAATTTTTACAGCAATGAATGTTTTTCAATTTTTTTATTTTTAAAACAAGTACTGAGGATCCAAGAGTCAATTCGTTAGTAATATGTTTAACGAAAATTAAAGCATTTGCACTATTTTTTAAGTCTTGCGACCGAACATCAGTATTTTGATTTGGGGTTACTTTGATAATGCTCGATGAATGTAGAAAAAATGAGTGAAACTGAAACAATTTAGTTCTTCAAATATGAAACTTTGAATGAGTATATAATCAGAAAACATCATAAGCAATAAGAATTCAACATTGAATTTGTGATGGCTATATCGGAAATACATTTCATAAGTGATGGTTGGAGTGCTTTTTCGAACAGTCGAAAAACACTAGAATTGTTTGTAAATATGTAACACATACTATATAAAAACTATATAGGATATCAACGGCTAAACCCTATGGTACCAATGTTTCTAATTTGGAAAAATCTCAGCGAGTAAATGTAATATTTTCATTATACTATCATTATCATTATCATTATCAAAGACACCCCGTTTTACGGTATTTATTTTCAACATCACAATTTGTCACATCAAGTGGGGTATAATGCGCTCCCCTAATGGAAAGCAGAACCATCAGGTGTGAACCTTTGAAATTAAATAGAAAAAGAGCAAACATTAAGCCCAAATGTATGCATGCGTGGCATGATACCTATCAGTATACGCATTTTGCCCCTCAGTGTTTTGAAAACAGGTTTGTGTAGACCTTTTCAATTTCAGTAATTTAATCAAGAATTTAGATTTTTTAATATCTAGCCATTAGCCTAATCTAACAAATAGATGGTAGTGCACTTAAATGTTATGGATTAAACGGAAATCTTCCTATGCATGAGCATTTTACCCCCATTTTCCAACCTTCCCAACCATTGGTTTAAGGCTTCGGATTTTTCAATATTGGTCCATAATAAGTTATTCCACCAACTTTGGTTGAAATCGGAGAGGGTCGATGCAATTTTCTAAATTTACTCGGCCACTTGAGATGGAATGACCCAAATATTAAATAGACTGAATTAATGAGCTTGCACAATGAAGATGGAAAGCTAATCCCATGGTCCATCTATTTTAATTTTGTCCTACCTGATGATGATTACAGTTTGCATTGATGAGTATTTTATTTTAGATTTTTTAACCAAATTAAGGTCATTCATTGTTTCGAACATTTGACGTTTGAAGTCGTTGTTAACAAAAACAGTTATGTGACAGTTTGCACTTATACTAATTTACAGTATTGGAAATATCGCCAAAAGTTCATTATCGCAAGCGAGATGTTTTCGCTACGGAACTTAGCAATGCTAATTTCACAAAACGTTATTTCTTGTTTGAGATTGAGTGGAACTAATATCATCCCACTTTGGCTCACCAGCGGGAGAGAGCGTATGTTCCTTATGAAATAGATGATATGACTCGTGAACTTTTTAATTGGTAATTCGAAAGCACCGGCGCCTGAAAATGGATAAGATGACGGCTCTTAACCCAATTCAGTCTCTTGAATAACACCTAATCTAGAAAAAGAAAACATGAGAAGAGTTAGGTAGGTGCAACAATTTTTCACTACCTGATAGTGGCATTAGTATGCTAGTATGCATGTGCGAGCTACCAGTTACGCCAAATCGACGATCAAATGCATTGTATGCAAAAGCTGATACGTCCCTTCGAAAAAGTAATCGAGAATTCATGATTTCATTCTACTCCCCCGACGAAACATAGCATAGGGCTCTACGATGGGAGACAATAAACTCAGCTAGCTCGTTTCTCAAGAGGCCATGTCAGATGGTTCAAATTTGGCATAATTAGTGCGATGGTGGTTTGTTATAAATATATTTCGATTTCGTAGTTGCCGGGAAGATATGTCAAAATTCAGTTTTAATAAGAGTTCTACTGAATCAATAAGATGCGAAACTGTAATGTTAACCAATGAGACCATTGTGTCGTGAATGCTCTTCTAATGTTTGGAAGTTGATGAGCATGCAGCATGCTTCATAAGATGGAAGAGGAAATCTTGTTCAGCCTAATTTACGAAGTGCAAAACATTGTTTTTGTACTGATTCTATTCGCTGCAATATTGCAGTATTGACTTTACATAGGCAATGTATAGTGCTATTATTGTGTATTGGTCATGAAAACTATAAGTAAAAGTTTTTTTTTATAAATCCAAGCGTGTTGTTGGTTCTGCTGGTGATTTATGATAATTGTCAATGAATGTTAGGTTGGAATCTATAATTAATCCTAAATCTACTAAACTAATCTTCTGGTTGATTTCCTAAACGGAAAAAATGTTTTTCGAGTCCGACTAAATGCTATTGAATTGCATTTTTGTACGTTCAGTTTTAAAAGGATTTTGTAATACCAATTGGAAAAAATGTGTACTTCATTCTGGAATACCTTGATGTCTTGCTTGTTCCTCATTTCTAAAATGACACTTGACCCTATGGACCTTAGACCGAAAATGTGTTTCACAAGTGATATGTACAAAAACAATGTATGGAGATTCTAAAAAATTCAAAAGTTTTGATTTTAGAAACGAAAATAGCAAAAATATTTGTTTGGTAAGTTCTGCAAAATTTGAAATAGCCTTTTTACTGTAATCATAAAAGTTACCACCAAGTACAATTTGTTTAAGAAAAAGGTTCTAATTCCGTAAAAAAAGAAGATTTTTCAGTTTTCTGTACACACAATAAAATGCCGTAACTTATTAATACTAGCAACATATGTTTCTGAAATCAGCCATATGCGCATCTGACTTTTATCTTTCAATAATTTCACATAACCGTAATTGCACATTTTTCTCGTTTATCTTCAAGATGGATGTTAACAGTATACTTTGGCGAACATTAGAAAATAATTTAAAAAAAGTGGGCTGTCAAAATCTTCTCATTACTGTGTTCCATTAAGAATGGGGTGTCATTTCCAAATAATGCCGAGGACGCAGTAGACCCTCAATACGCCGATGATGTCAGTAACGTATCTTTATGTGTTCTTTGAATCCTCTTTCATAAAACCTCAAATTGTTGCATCACTGTGCAAAAGTCGGCTCTCATTAGGAGTGGTAGTCATAGAGTTCTTCAAAAACAAGTACATATCTCCAGTAACCTTGCCTAGAGTTTCAGTTTTGCTCCCAGTTCCTATTGATTGAACGAGCATCGCCCATGCAATTCGAGCTTGTCGACTTATGGCATCCTGTGCAGCTGCTGTGCTATTTGTGCAAGCGTTAACAACGTTACAAGCACTCGCATCAAAGCCTGTACCTTAACTGTTTTCAATTCCCCTTTACTGACACATTTCTTGCTGCATGAGCTAGTAGTGCTTTGTATTGTGGATGACTAACGACCCTGAAACATACGCTTCACCAATTTCAACGACACCTGAAGAGCACTATCAGTCGTGGTCATGAAGTCAACTGGCTAGATCCTAGTTGTGATTTGAACGGAACATCCAAGAGTCCTCCATATAGATCTAACCTGATAGACTTTTTCAATGTACTGTAAAATTCATTATGCTACCAGTGGATATAGGTACCTATAGTTGTGGACGACGAAGCGCTGTGCTGTGTAGCTGGTGGCGTTAATTAATTTTATCTTCACGGTGTAGCTGCGTTGTCTTTCAAGCTGATCTCGTTCTACATTCTATCCTTTTCTGTTCTCTGCATCTCGTTTTCCACAGTGGAGTAAGCTTTCCACAACGACGAGTCAACAATTGGACTGTATGCAGCGTCACGCGGAAGGTTGCGGAAATTTATGGAGCAAACAAACGGAGACCGGCAGCGGCGCCGAGGATAAAAAGCGAAAACCATCGTCGACATCGGCCGCATCATCCGTCTCCAAGTCAAAGTCCAACGAGTGGGTAGTCGTTCCGGTTTTTGTCGACATCGTCAAGCTAGCTCTGAAATCCAGAGAGGATTGCTGTGTAAGGTAGGTGCATGCACGTTGCGTTTGGGTTCGGGGTGCATTAGTACAGTTTGACTGAGCAATGTTAGTGGAGTGGCTTATCGTTGAAGAGCTGCAGGCTCAAGTGCGTGACTTTTGAAACTAAATTTTGCTACATTCACCCTCGCTCAGTTGTTTGTAGGTGTTACATAATGGCAACAACCCTCAGGTCAGGAAAATGCAGTAACACTATTCCTATGCAATGATTGTCAACTCGGTAACAAACGCGGTATATAACCATGTACAAACGGTAGGTGAAAATTGTGCAAATTTTGTTTTTTGCTACCCATGCAAAGTTAAAAGTAAAATTGTATTTTCAAAGCAAATCCAATTCTACTCGGACATACATGTTCATTGACATGAGACCATGTAGGCCTTTTAAAGGGCTGGGGGGAGGATTTGGCAATTTTCTACGGTCTATACAAATTTCAAAAAAAAAAAATATGGAATATGAATACATTGAGGGAGGTGTCCACGCAGTTTATGAACAGCCCTTGATTTCTTCGGACGTATGAGTCAATCACGATTTAATTTTATTATCAGAGCTTTGCATAACAGATCTAGAAATTTTGAGTGACATTCTATTAATTGAATTCGATGTCCGTTAAAACCATCTAATTAGGGTTGGTACTAAAATGTTATCCTGCTTGAGTGAGGCATACCACAATAAACCTGTATATGATTATGGGACACCATACAATCACACCCTCGATTAAGTCTATCAAACAAATGAATCCTTTTTCGGTAATTTGTTTATTTATTTGTTTATTTATTTATTTATTTATCATCATCGGACTTTCCTAGTCTTAATGATGTTTGGTGGGGAGAAGACTGCATGAGTTTATCTGACTTAAAACCTTGTTCAAATAGAAAACCGCATGTCTTTTCGTAAATTATTCATAGATTCAATACATAGAATAAAACAAAAATATAATAACAAAGTAACATTATAAGTCCTAGGCATTAAAATTGAAACCGTCCTGTGGCATGGAGTTGTTGGGACCAGGGCTCTAATTTTTCGAAGCTTAGAAAACTCGAGTTTTTTTCTTTCATACAAGAGATATGCTGAAACCAGTCCACTTTTTGCACGAGATTCTCAAAAATCATTTTTCGTACTTATTGAGAAGTTCTAGTTATGAAACTAGAAAAATCGATCGGCAAAAGTCAAATTGATGAACCCGTTGGTAACTAGGGGTTCTAACAGTTTTAAAAAGTGCTTAATTTTTGCGTATTCTTGAATCGATGATATCTCTGAAAATTCTCAAGAAAACCCCTAATGTTTATAATCTATAGTGAAAAGGATAGTTATGACTTTCATTTGGCATGTTAAATTTTGGCAACCATATTGAATTTGTGTGGCGGAATTTATTAATAAAAATGCGTTTTTCATGAGCTTACCTCCCACCGATTTTAAAAATAAGCCCGCCATTAGAAAGCTGAATCTTTTACCACAGACAAACAGACATAACTATCACAATCACATTCATCGCAAATATTTTTTTAGTTGGGAATGTGCTTGCATTTGTCATGGTGGCGCCACTGAAGCATTGAGCAATCCACCACATTTCGAACTTATCAGTGATGCCAGTTCTTTTTCACGTCTAGTTAGTAGATGTCATCTCTTGAAAATGATAAGTGGTCAAGGCATCCCACTGGAGACACATACCACATCTGACGAATACAAAAAAAAAGTTGTTGAATATTACATCAGAACTGCTGCACATTAGTCTTTCTTTCCTAATATTCCATTGTACGATGTACACAGAATTCGAGAATAAATCATTTTGATGACAGTAATATTCTATCAACTTTTACCAGTTCTTGATGTTCAATACTTCACCATGAATATCATTGATTGATACATCTACATTTAGAAAGAGCACTAATAAACTTGTTTCCAGCAAAAGAAAAAGCACAATAAACAAACCAAACAAATCCATAAAAAAAGTCTTAGCTTCTGTGATTTTTTCCTACGGATCCATATTCCTGCAGAATTTAATCAATTCATCACTGACTTCCATCTGTTTTGTTTTTATTCAACACAGCTGACGCGTTGACAGAACAACGGAATAGCAACTAGTGAAAAAATTGCATGAACGAGGGATGCTCCGGTTGTAAAACAATGCTTGGGAATGTGGATGATAGATGGGGCTAGTGCGCATGCAAAATACGCTTGACGATATTTTTTGAAGAATTTTCTTCTAAGTTTTATGTCTGTTTGTCTGTGTTTTTACCTTATAACACAGCAAAAAATAAATTTTAATATTACATCCAAGAGGATGCACTTAAATTATGTCGATAATCTTATGTAATTTTTATGGTCACAAAAATAAACAGATGCAGTAAAAACAGCGTAATGTCAGTTCATGCACTGTATTAATGATAATTTTGACCTTTTTGGCAAGTAATAGTAAACCAAACTTTTGAAACGATTGAAGTGCATCCTCTTTGATGGGATATCAAAATTAATTTTTTGCTGTGAAGTTGGATATGCTTAACGTCAATATCAGACTTAAAGTACATTTTATACGATAGATGAGGAGATGGAAATATAGAATGATTTCATTTATTTATTTATTTATGTCGTCAATCAATCGTAGACCAATTGCAATGAGTGCTTATTAACTATGTCTTATATATTATTGCTTGGCTAACCTTAAAAAGAATGTTTTTTTTTGTGTTACTTCATTCATTGTTACATTAATTGATTGGGAAAATGCGTTATAGCAGGACATAATTCTATTCAAACGCCCATTTTTAGCATAGTCTGTTCTTTGATTGTTAATGTAAAACAAAATCCCAAATCCGTAAAGAGCGAGTGGGAACATAAAAATTTATATTTTCTAAAATTTCCGGAACATTAACTATTTGAGCAATAACATCATTTATAAATGTTACCATGGCGAAGTCTCTTCGTTTTTCCAGTCCATCTAAATTTATTAACAAACATCTCGTAATCTCGTCCAACCTTATTTTCGAAGGACAAACAACAAAAATTATTTGTTAACAGACTCAATGCGGTTTATATAATACATAATATATAATATATATGTATCCTGATACGGAGCCCACACTACGCTACAGTATTCAGGAAGAGGTATCACATAGGCCACATACAATGTTTTAATAGTGTAATCTTTTGATAAACCCTAGCATGTTACTTACTTAATATATAATGTTATTGTAGTGATCAACAAATGACAACTTAGAGTCGAGAGTAATGCCTAAGTCCCTTACTTGATTACACCTTTCAACTGTTTTCTCACCAAGGGAAATTGTGTCATTTACTGTGGCATGCTTTCTTGAGTTGATAGTTCCGTTGTAGTACAACTCATCGGTGATTTTTGCGACGTTAAATTTTGGAAGGCAAAACTCATAGGCGCTTAAACTCGTGCATGAGATTTGAGTCTTTGAGTTTTTCCGAACACTGAGTACGGCAGTGTGAAAACTGTATGTAGATAGTAGAAAGCGAGCAAAGGACAATTTTGAGGAAGATATGAATCGCCTTTGCTAAACTAATATGTTGCCGAGGTGTGATGAGGGGTGTTTCGCCACTACTGACAAAAGAGATGATCACCGATGCGCTCGTGTACCTCCTGATGTGCGGAAACAGTTCTATCGATTGTTTCACACACTCAAGTCGCCATCTGACGTAAGCATCTATGTTAAAGTACTATAAGATACAGTTCAAATGTCGATGGAGCAATTAAATTTTTTCATGCTAATAGAAGAAAATAAAAAAGTGGTTTGATAAATGATGAGCCCTAATGAGCTATTGATTTAAATCACTGTAGCTTTGAAAATTCACAAGAAACATCCGAATATTTGCAAATCGCTGAAAAGGGGAAATTTTTGGCTTTAACCAAAATGTTTTGCAGCCATATTGGATTTGCCGCCAATTCATAAATATGGTATTTCTTTTGGATCCATTTAAGATTTAATTGGTCCATCGAAATTTGAACTATATCTCATAGGCAAAAGTTTTAGCTTTCCAATGACGTGCCTACCCAAGTAACAAATCTAGAGCTGCTTGACTATATTCAAAATTTATAAAGGTTTTATTGCAGCTGCAACCATTACCTACAGCTTTATGACGGTCATATACAATGCAAGTCATGGAACATTTTATAGCTATCTACAAAACCCCTATAAAGCTTATAAAAAACCAACTGATGCTTACGCTATTTTCACTTATTAAAGGTTTTATGATTGCCTTGAAGTACAAAAAAAAAGCAATAAGTAAGCGCAATAAAGCTAGTTGGCCATGAAACAGTTATTTTAAAACAATTATAAGCATTCAGTTGCAACTTGTCAGAAGTGTAAATGTGCGGTTTATTTCTATAACATAGAAAAGAATCAAAACTATCCGGTATTTACAAGCGGAACGCAAAGAAAATCAACAAGATTGTTAGCATGAGCCCGTTTATTTGCTAGAGTCAGCCGCAAACCTTCGTGAATAACTCATACCAAGAAAAAAAAATGCCGCTGCATTTTCTGCGGATGTCACAAGCTGTAAAGAGTGTGCTTCCTCACCATTCCATTGGTCGAAATAATGGAAGGGTGACAGTTCTAGGACAAAAAAGTTGAAATCACGCATATCTTTTCATAAAGGTTAATGTACCATTCAAAACTTTTCCAAATGTTTGTTAAATTCATCGGTTGCACCCGTAGAATAGGAATATACATTTGCCCTCAAATGAAAAAAAAAAAATGAATTGCTCTTGTAAAAAGAAAATAGTGCTCGTAATAAAATCATGCATTATGCTTTTCTGTTCTGCTTTCAGTCAATGCACACTGGCACTGGGCCAGGAATGCAATCTAGCGGAGCAAAATTAATAACTCCGAAACGAAGCATTTCCGTCTTCGGCAAAGTTTTTTATCAAAATAAGGACCATCTATTGACATAAACAAATAGTTCAAAACTCTTCCGCAAAGATGGCGCCACAATCTAACTTCTTTCTCTGACGTTTTGGAGACTTGATGTCTTCGGCAAAGTTATTTAATTTGACAAAATGAACAGTTCTTTCAAAGACGTATAATTTCCACAGCCTACTGGTTCCAAGTTATATGGAGTTAAAAAATGTCGAAAATATAGTTTTTTCTTTCTGTTTCGGTTTTTTGCTTACAACCATATAATGTTGTATTTTTCTCTTATGCAAACATACTGGTTTAAGGTTCAAATTTTAAAGATATTATTGAAAAACCGAAAAATAAACAACAATTTTTTAACTTTAAATCTCCCAAAGCGCAAAAATCTGCAATCTGACATTTTTAGCAAAAATTTAGCAATACTCAATAAGCAAAATATTAAAATTTGAGAGAGGTATATTTTGGTGTTTTTTTTAGATTTCTTCATTTTAGTGGAACATGATTTTTTTCTATAACTTTTTTTAATGCATTGAAACGGCGTTTTAAAGACTTGACGACTTTGGCCTTCACAGCCTGCTGTTTTCGAGGTATATGCATTTAAACAATATGTATATTTAAAATTAAAACACTTATTTTCACATTTTTTCTGTAATTCCATTTAACTCGAAAGCAGTAGGCTGTGAAGTTTAATCGTCTTAAGAAGAGTTGTTTATTTTATCAAGATAAACAACATTGCCAAAGTCGTCAAGTCTTCAAAACACAAGTTCAGTGCATTAAAAAAATTATAAAAAAAACATGTTCCACTAAAATGAAGAAATCTTAAAAACATCAGCATATACCTTTCTCAAATTTTGATATTTTGTTTATCGAGTATTGCTTAATTTTTGCTGAAAATGTCAGGTTGCGATTTTTTGCGCTTTGGGAGATATTATATTGTGTTTTTTTTTTTTTTTGTTTTTTCAACAATATCTTTGAAATTTGAAGCTTAATCCAGTATGTTTCTTGACAAAAGTTATTTATTTAATGCATTTGCATAAGAGAAAAATACAACATTATATGGTTGTAAGCAAAAAACCGAAACAGAAAGAAAAAACCATATTTTCGACATTTTTTTAACTCCATATAACTTGGAACCAGTAGGCTGTGGAAATTTCACGTCTTTGAAAGAGCTGTTCATTTTGTAAAGATAAACAACTTTGTCGCAGACATCAAGTCTCCAAAACGTCAGAGAAAGAAGTTAGATTGTGGAAGAGTTTTGAGCTATTTGTTTATGTCAATAGATGGTCTTTATTATGATAAGAAGCTTTGCCGAAGGCACCAAGTCGCGGAAATGCTTCGTTTCGGAGTTATTAATACTGCTCCGCTAGGTTGCATTCCTGACCCAGTGTGCAATGTAAGCATTAGACATTTTAAGAAATTGCGCTTGGTGTTTTTCTTGTCTGCTGTCCTCTATCGCCATATTGTCATTATGAAAATGCCATTAGCCTTGGAATAAAATCCAAGAAATTTCATTAAAATAATGGCTAAATTAGATATCCGAAATGATTTCCAGTGTGCATGGGTATGAATTTAAGATGATTCCATCAAATTAATTTGATTTCTAAAACAATATTTTTTGTTAACTTGAATTATTTTGGAGGCGCATTTATTTAACGCTCATATTATCCCAATATACACGATAAAATTTCAAGCGCATATGTTTTGGAACTTCTAAAAAGTCATATATTTCCGTTAAGATTTTCACTAATGTCGCCATAAAACAAAATTGATTACATGGTGATCTTGACACCAACACTCAAACCTATTTTTACCGCTAACGATTTCCATATGGAAAAAAAAGTTTCAGCAGAACAGAACAACAACAAGCTAGTTTATGGCGGTTACTTTGAAGCAAATATAAATTAAATTGGATTTATAACTGATTTTCACAAAAGCGTAATAAGACTGCTTGAATACAATATTACTCTTAAAGATGCTATGAGAACCTTTTGTAGAGTATGAGGCTTTCTGACAAAAGGTTTTAAGACAGCTTTATTGTGATTCTCAAACATGATTTATAAACCTTATCAAGTGTGGTCCACTAAGCTGTAAGACGATCTTATAGCGGTTATCAAAAGGTTGTGCTGGAGCTATTAATTTTATTGACGGTTTTATAAAATTGATCTCAAAAACCACTAATAGAGTGCAATAAAACAAGAAATGCTACTTGGATATTTTCATAATTGGTGGGAGCTCACGAAAAACGCATTTTTATGAATAAATCCAAACTCAATATGACCACCAAAATTTTTGAACATGCCAAAAGAAAGCCCTAACTTTACCTTTTACTATGGTTTTTAAATTATTAGGGATTTAGATTTAAGTCTATGATTAGACACTGGAGAAGTTTGCAAGTAGTAGACTAAATATGTATCTGTTATAGCTTTTTTAAAGTGATACACGCAAACCAAAAATTTATTACAATGAATGTTAGTTCCATTTCCTATCATCCTCTGTTTATGAACATCGCAGCGAATGTTAGAAGTTTACCTTGAAGACGATGCAATGATTTTTAATCTTTTTTTTATTTCGTGTTCTGTATATGCTTTCACCTACACAAGCAAGCAATTGCCTTGATTGTTATATAGGAAAAATGGCTCTAATGTTGGTCTATGGATCTAAGTCGATTGCTGAATTTATGTATAGGCTCAAATTAGGGGCATTCCATTTCTTTCGGTTTCGATTCCCAGTCCTGTCTAGAAAATCTTTCGGGTTGAAATGTTTCGACATCCCTGGGCATAGGGTATCATCAAATACATGCATTATTCGTTGGCATAGGAAACTTTCAGTTAACATCTGTTGAAGTGCTCTAAAAAACACCATGATGAGGGCAGACGAAAACTCGTGTAACAGCGTCAAAATCTGTCAGACTTCATGTATCAAGAAATGATCTCCCAATCGCACCACTTTACGACTATCGAGGGTTTTCTGGGATGATTTCAAACATGTTTCTGTGGACGATTAAGGCTTTGTGCACAAATTACGTAACGCATGGAGTGGGTCAAACTTCCTCTTCTTCTTCTTCTTTGTATTTCAAGCTTATTGCTTATCGCATATTAGCTTATTGCGTGCTCTCAACTTAGTGTTCTAGATACACTTCTTCAGTTATTAAATGAGAGCCTTCGATACCAGTACAATTTTTGCATTAGTATAATTGTGTGGGAAGTACAATCATACCCAGGGAAGTTGAGAATTTCGTAGACCGCACCGGGAATTGAACCCAGCCACCTCCAGTGTGGTCTTGCTTTGTACTCGCAAAAAAATCATTCCCATATTCGTGAACGAGAGCCGTGAACTATAGTTCACGGTGTACATTTCTTTCTACGCGTGGACCGTGAACTATGTTCACGACTGCCGTTAACTAATATGGGAACAGATATTTTCCGAGTAGCTGCGCCTTTAGTAGGTCAAGCTTGCGCTACTTATTGTTACATTGAGGAGAGAGGGTAATGGGAAATGTTACGTAACAAATTGACCAAAAAGGAAAAAAAAAACCAAAAACGAAAAAAAATATGGTGTTAAATATACCTACCTATCTAATATAATATTTACGATAATTACGACCCTTGAATCTAATATAATAAATATTTTTCAAACTGTTGATTGAGATTTGTTGTTCAATCTTGAAAAAGAGGGAGTGGGGTGAAGGCGAGTGAGATAGCATTACGTAATTTCGGGGGGTGGGGGTTGTCAAGCGTTACTTACTGTTACATAGTAGAGGGGAGGCGCACCAAAGTCCAGATTTGTTGCGTTCGTAATGTTTGTACCGAATATTCAATCTATTGCATGGAAACGTTAATTTATGAATATTTCAACCACTGATTCCGACTACAGATTTCAAACTGCTATTGCCACTAATCTAATGTCAATGACCTAACATTGAGCAGGAACTGTCCACAATTGCACCTGCGGGATTTCCACACCAAGATTGATTAATACCGATAATTGCATTATTATTCATTTCCACTGTTATCCTGCACCTCTTTCCGATTTTCAGGCTCCCAAATGGTCACATAAATATGGCAGCGTTCAACCGGCTGGCCGCTATCGCCGGTGCGTTCACGAAACACATGTGCCAAGTCAATCAAACATTGCCGGACGTAGGAGAGTTTGTGATTCTCTGCCGACACATGCAATCGTGCAAATTGCAGAACGAGTCAGGTAAGGATGAAAGGTTGCAGATTTCAACTTCCCCGGGGTTCCGATTTACACAGTTCATGCATATCAGCAAGCGTCATGATGTCCTATAACGAATTTCCCTCAAAGGCTTTGCCAAAAAGTCATGCACTTCATTCGACATAAAGCTATCTACCTACATACATGTGGTCCATGATCGTATAAATTATAAACCCTTTGGAAGGATGTGATTTTTTTACTTCATAATTCCAAGCCATAAATTATGTTTTCAGCACTACCACGTGCTCACTGCAGGGTTGCAGCGAGCGAACGGTCTCCCGGGCAGGGATTTTTAATGAAATTTTAATTGCAATTTAAAGTTGAATAAATGGCCCACGGCAACGTTCGTGATGCGATGTGCGCTAGTATCGACAGTGCCGAAGAGCTTATTGTTGGGTTTTAGTTTGCAACGAGATTCAATTTTTATTAATGAATACAAGTACCGGCTCCATCTACGTACACTTCATCCACGCATGGTAACTGGCTCATGCCAAAACCATGGAGAATTATGGTTGCAATATTCCATGCTGATATTTTTTTATCGAGCAATTTTATAGTTGATTCAAAATTGAACATGATGTTTTCAACAATACCAAATTGTATGGCTTGGTAATGTGTCATTTTTCGGGTCTTTTACAAGATAATCACACTTTATAAAGGCAGAGGCGCATCGTAGTGGAGGAAGAGCCGTAAATCCATGAGACATTCTCTCTAACTCGACGGAAGTCCAGTCTACTTGAACCATTTTTGCCATACAAATTTGGTCTATTGTCGATCGCCCATCCGTAAAACCGGCTTACCCAAGTAACATTTTAAGTTTTAAAATTTATTTTTAGCAGTCTGCATGGAAAACATCATAAAACCGCACATTTTACTATTCGTACTGTCAGTGCTTCAGCACAACCATACTAAAACCGCATGGCGAACAAGAGGGCTCATATTGTAGAAAGCTGCGAAAACCTCCGTTCAAACCATTATAAGGGCATTTACATTTCATATTTTGATGATGATGATGATGATGATGATGATGATGATTAAAATCAAAACAACTAAAAATCCATCATCACCATCGTGGCGAACAATGTAGTTTTGTGTATATGCTACACACATTACTAAAATGTCTTTATGAAAATGTGATCCAAACCTCTTAAAAACTGTTTTGAAACAATGTGACAATCTTGCAAAACGCTTTATGATTTAATTCAACAATCGAAAGAGATTTTGGTTTTCATTTTGATGATTTGAAAATTGGATTGCTGTTGAGAGTATACCTCCATTCGCAATTAGAGCAACCTAAATGAATGCACCTTTAGTGAGTTCTGCCCCTTCATACTAATATCAATTCCAACAAAAGTGCTCATAAGATGTGCAGTGATAAGGGAACATTCAATAATTACATACCAGCACGAAAAGCCTTCAGGATTTAGGCGTAAAACCCCCAAATATTTTAACATGCACTAAATTAGCAAAATAAAACGAACACAAGTACAGTATTCTCAGTTATTTAAAATAATGCCGTAGTGTCATTCTCACGCCGCACTATGCCATTAGTGGATTGCTTCCTGAGCCGTATCAAATTATGTATCGCCTTTCTATCGGACTACGCTGGATCCGGAGACGGAAAGATTCAGCTGTACAATTGAAGTCAAACAATGTGTAGAATTCGTTGAATCGCGATTACATGAACCGCAGCACGGGGTCCAAGATGAGGAAATTCCTATTTCAAAGAACTCGCTCAAGAGCGTAGATTTCTAATTCAACCAAAATTCTGGGAGAGTCGGTTTGCTTAGTAGCACTTTTGCCGTAAATACTATCTAGCTAACTGTTCACCTATATGCTAGTGTATCAAGATCCAGGAGAAGACAACGATCCGCATTGGATGAAAGGTTCACTGGAAGGTGACGAAGGGCGTAACGAACGAATTTCGTTTGAACAGACTCAATCCTCGCTATCCACGGGCACCATATCACTGAGCCAAATTACAGTATGGATCATACCTCAGCGAAGGCTTTTTTGGAGGGGCAGGTCTTTCGGGGGGAGGGGACAGTCAAGCCCACGATGTGACATATTTTTATATTAGAGATGTTTATATCACGAGATCCTAACCAGGACCAGTGTGTCATCATACCGTTGTTTGTCGGTTGTTTGATTCGCTCGCTCAGTGCCAGTGATATTAATAGTGCTACGCGTTTGTTCACGTTTTCGGTCATTTCGGTGCATCGCGTGTGATGTCGAAGCGGTTGAAGAAGACAGGCTCGAACCAGGGATCGAACCCTGCAACCCAGTCTAACGCTGCCCAAGGCGGCAAAAAGACGAAGAGAGGCGCATCCGACCGTGGAAGTGTCCATACCCTAATGAATAGTGGTCCCCAGGATAACGCCACAGCAATCAACGGTAGTGACGTCGGTGATTTCGGCGGGTCCGTTGAAAACTTGGCCATGGGCGGCCTGAACGGTCCGAAAGTGAAACTTCCACCTCTGGTGGTGAAGTCAATACCACTCGACAAGCTGGCTCAAGTGATGGCATCCCTTGGCGTCGCTGCCGAGTACAAGCTGTGCGGGATTGGCACGAAAATCATCCTCCACACCAAAGCGGACTACAACAAAGCTTTGGCTTCGCTGAAGAATTCCAAAGTGGAATTTTTCACACACGACATCCCGGGCGACAAGCCATTTAAGGTAGTCATCCGAGGCCTTCCGAACTTCGAAACGAAGGTGATCGAAGCTGAAATTAAAGACCGGTACAAGCTGGCCCCCATCGCCGTCTTTTGGATCAAGAGGAGGAACGAAAGCCAGAGGAAGTACCAGGATTGCCTTTTCCTGGTACACTTCAAGAAGGGGACGGTGACGCTTAATGCGTTGCAAGCAATCCGCTCGCTCTTCAACGTCATCATCCGTTGGGAATCCTACCGTGGTGGCCGCCGCGATGTAACGCAGTGTCAGCGCTGCCTGAACTTTGGACACGGCACCCGAAATTGCAACATCAACCCACGTTGCTGCTTCTGCACCAAGGACCATGCCTCCTCCGACTGCCCAGATGACAGTCCTGAGGTTATCAAGTGTGTCAACCAGTGATGGAAAAGTTCGCGAAAACTCACTATGACTCGCGAACTTTTCCCTTGGTGAACTTCGTGAAATATCGCGAACTTTTCCAACACTGGTGTCAACTGTGGCAGGGCTCTGACAGGCAGTGCCCCAAACGCGAGGAGTTCAAGCGTATCCGAAAGGATGCATCGACCTCCAACCAACCAGGACGTAAGAAAAATAAGTCCCCGACTTTCGGGCCAGGCGATTTTCCGCCTCTTCGAACCAACCAGCAACCGCGAGTGCAACCCGCTCCCCCCCAACCAACGCCCGGTGAACAAATTCCTTTCCCCCCTGGATCCTGGAGAACACCGCCAACGCTAGAAGGTATGTACTCGGTGGACGAGTGTTGGAACATGTTCGTTCATGTTACAAGCGCTTTCCGCAAGTGCACCAACAAGAACGAACAGTTCGAAACTATCGTGAAACTGGCTATGCATTATGGCGTCTAAACCACTATGGATAGTCACATGGAACGCTTGCTCCTTAAGATCAAAACCATCAAGCTTGCGGACTTCCTCCCCAAGCATACCATCGACGTGGGCCTCCTTACCGAGACCCACCTCAAGTCCGGAAACAGTTGCTGGTTGCCTGACCACAACATTATCCGACTTGGACTTGATCGCACCAGCTCCAGGGGGGGGGGGGTGTTGCGGTCGTCGTCAAGAAAGGAATGAAATACCACACTCTGTCCCATATCCGCACCTCTACCATCGAGGCCCTTGGTGTGGAGGTGGAGTCGTCGACTGGATACGTCCAGTTCATCGCCGTCTACTGCCCTCGACAGTGTGCCGCCAGCAGCGGACTAGTGGCTAAATTCAAGAAAGACCTGGCCACCATCACCCGTACCGGTTCCCGCTTCGTTGTTGGAGGAGATCTGAATGCTCGCCATGAGGCCTGGCGGAACTACCAGCAGAACCAGAACGGTCGTCTGTTGTTCGACCATTCGCAGCAATGGGCTGTACTCCGTTTGGTTCTCGGACGAGCCAACATTCATCTCACCGGCAGGCAACCCATCGACGCTAGACCTGTTTCTTACAAATACCGGCTTGTCCAAGCCGGTAGCCTTGATCGAACTCAGCTCCGACCATCAACAGGTGGTGGCTGAACTGGGATACAACGTAGCTCCTGCTCCAAGCCTGCGCAAGGACTACCATAACGTAAACTGGGCCCAGTTTGGACGCGTGGTAGACAGGCACATCATCGACAACCCGCCGCTTGACTCCGTGGAGGACATCGTCCGAGCGTTAGGGGGACTTCACCAAGCCATAACCGTGGCTGACGAGGCGTGCGTCCGACGAGCTCCTGGGAGGGGTAAGTTTATTGCCATTGATTCCCACACCCAACTATTGATTCGACTGAGAAATGTTCGTAGACGCCAGTTCCAAAGAACCGGAGATCTAGCATGTAAACGTGAAATGGCCGATCTGAACAAGGAGATTGCTTCCAGAATGGTCTGACTCCGGAACGAAAGTTTCGGTTGGCTCATCCAGAATCTGGACGACCGCTCCAGATCATTCTGGAAGGTTGTCAAGGTCCTAAAGACGCACCCCAAACCCATTCCTCCACTCAAAGATGAAAATGATGACGATCGGCTCATAATCACCCCTCAGGAGAAACCAAATGCGATTGGTGAGCATATTACCAAATCACACTTGCTTGGCTCCAACATCCAAAGTCCGCTCGAAGTTCAGGTTGAGCAATGCGTACTCAACCTTGATTCCTCCCCTTGTGCCATCCCTCCGGAGGATAGAATCACAGTGGAACAAATTTGCTCAGCGCTGAAATGCACCAAAAACATGAAGGCCCCCGGGTTTAACGGAATATTCAACCTAGTATTGAAAAATCTCAGCATGAAGGTTCACTCTCTGCTGGCTGCTGTCTTCAACAGATGCTTAGAAC